ATTTTAAACGGGTTTAAGTTTAATTCAATTTTACTGAAAAGAATTTATTTCCAGATTGATTTCTATATTGAATTTTATTAATAATTTGCTTAATTTGTTTTCCTTGAATTAATCAAGCGATAGGTATGATATCTCAGAATCTTATCAATAAACAAATTAGTATTTCCTGTTATTTTAAATATTAATACATAATTACCATTAGGTACCTACATCAAGCGTAGAACCACAMTGTGAAGATTTATTAAATATGTATAATAATTAATAATTTTATTATCCTATTTGAATCCGTTAATTGTTACGTATACCATAATATTATTATAAGCTTCATAAGTTTTCAGAATTAAACACAGTACCAATACAAAATGTTTGGACGGAAAACGATAAAATATACTAATTTAGATTAATTATTAGAGTTCCTGCCTGTGTGGGTTTTTATATTGGGAACTGGTGTCCGGAATAGAAACAGAAGACTGCCCCACCGACAGAGGTCATTGGCTACACACGACGGACGGCGGGCGTGTGTAAATATTTATTACGCGTATTCTCGGCACCCATCGGGTCTGGACGTACCGACAATGATATTATAATAGTCTTCAGATGGAAAAATCGTATTTCGTTCGAATCGATCGTCGTTCCGAGCATCTACGCACAAATCGCACAACAACAGCTGATGGACGAGATTAATATAAAATCGTATTCTCTTAAAACACGAACAATCGTATGMTATTATGGCACATTTTGCGTGGACCGTTCGTAGTGGCGTGGCAGTTGTTGTAATAGCGATCGGCACCGACGGCGGCCAGTTGGACCGTAAAATGCGTTTTCGATTTATTTGGGGAATATTATTATTATACGAACGTAGGATTCCGTCGGTAGGTAGCAGACAATAAAAAAAAAAAAACCTAACCGTTTGCGACCGCATTGTTATTTTACACTACAGCGGCCGTGCGACGCGTATCGGACGCACGTTGCACGCGGTTATCGTGTAATACTATAATAGTTACGAACACCCCTCTCCCACCCCTCCCCCATAGTTGTACAACATCCCCTGCGATACCAATGGTACGCACACCCCGCACAATTCCTACTCGGTAGAATGAAAAATGCCAWTTGATAAGGGTCGCCGAATGCGCGTAAAACACGTCAGCGAGATGTTTTCCCGAGATTGTCTCGGCGGTGGTGGTATGGGGGTTGGTAAACGTGGTGTCCGATGATGATAATAGTAATAACAATAACAAAAAATATTACATTATACATACAACAACAACAATATTATMAGATTGTTGTAGTTGTTGTTGTTGCGACCAACACGCGGCCGGTAGAAGATTCTGGGAACAGGTTTCTGCGCGGATCGGTCTGCAGCCAGCATGCCGACCGTAATATTGTGCAACATGTGCGCCMGAACGGAAATAATAAAGACCGYCGTGTTTTCCCCAAAGCGACATCATCATCGTRTCGTCAGAAGRTAATATTATAATGAATAACAATATTGACAATAAATCGGTGATGTCGGTTAGTAAGTTATCACCCGATAATCACCGGATAATCATTAATTGACCGACGGCAAGGAGAGAAAGTCGAACACTAGAACGCCGCGTCGGACACGCCGGTTTTTCCTATTATTATACTCTTCTGTTGTATTGTTACCCACCGAACGGTAACGCTTTTTCCCTCCGTTTTCTACCAAACCGGTCCGGCTGCGGACGTACGTCTGCCGAGACCAATCAACCGTTATTTTCACACCGAACGCGTTAGATTTTCTACGATGAGTACTGACCTTTGATCCAACGGCGACTGAGTTTTCGTGCCGAGTCCACGTGAGTCGCAAGTAACTAATTGATGCGCGAAAATGCGAGGCGCGCGCGCGCGCGCGTCGAACACAAACCGGCGGCAACGGCACTTAATCCAATAACGTCACGTTCGGTACACTGCCGACGCGATGGTTACGCACAGACTGCGTCGGCTGTCGGGCAGAGGCCTCGCCGGGTATCAACACGCTGCCGCCGCCGCCGCCGCCGTTTCCTCCTCCAGTTCGACGCCGCCGACCGGGCGACCGTGACGAATCGGCGGCGGCCGAACTCGGACGTATTATTATTATTATGTTTGCATGGAAGGGAGGTTGATGGTGGTGCGGTGAAGTGAGCGGCGTTGACTACGTTCGCGTGTATATGTGTGTGTGGGTCTTGTACAATATCGCCGCAACGTTATGAGGCGCTACGGCGACGACAGACCGAAAGCGATGGTACGCCGCCGTCGTAGGCTCAAAGGCATTTTGGGTTCTCGTGCACGCTAGATCCGGATGGATATTTCTTTCAGTAAAAATGTGCAACGACCGTTGCATTTGCCGCCGTACTTTGGTAATCACCCGTTTCTCCTCATAACCCTAGCACCTTTTATCAATCGA